CTTGCTTGTGCAACTTAACTGTGTCTTCAGACCTGCTCCCGTCCTTCTCTGCCTGCTGACCCAGTGTCCTGGGATGCCCTGCCTGATGGCCAGCTCGGAGGAGGACCCAGCCGGGGTCCACTAGTGTCAGCAGGGTGCCCCTGCTGCAGAGGTTGCTGACACCCACCGGCTAGCTCACCATTAGTCAGTGCTGAGCTCTGCCAGCCTCGACTCCTTGGCTAGCACTCTGCTGTCCCCTCCTGGCTAGAGCCTCCTGACCGTGTAACCATGTGGCCAATGGCGGGCTGGGGCTGGTGCCCATTTCTTCCTCTCAACACAAAAGGGTGTGTGCTCTGGATCATCCCTGAATGTTTACTATGTAACCAGCACCGTAACTTCCAGTTCAGTATTATAATGGCAGATTACAACATGATTTTGGACTAGGTGTTATAATCTCTGAGCCTTTGTTTTCTCAGCTAGAAAATGGGACAAATATTACTGACCTTGCAGGGCTGTAGTAAGGATTGAATAGGAGAGTGTATATGGGACACCCTGCCCCTCTGTGTTAGCCTACTAACGAGCTGCTGTGGTGGTCACTGTGCTATGATTCACCTGAGTCCAAAAAAGAAGGAGTCACCTGCTTGTCTTGATTCTAAAAAAGTGGAAAAATAGTGTTTGTTTTTGAGACTGGTGGCATGGAAGCTGGAAATGAGACCTAAAATGTACTGACTGTGGCCTTTTGCAAGGCTGCCGTGCTGCCAGTTTACCCAGCCCCGGGAGGCCCAGGCCATGGTTTGAGGACTGGTCTTCTCATTTTCTTGCTGTTGACATTCCTTGATCATGGAATTCAAGGGGGCAGAGCCCCGTATGCTCAAAGCATCTTTTGAAGATTGAAGTTAGATCCCAGGGCTTCCTTCTAGAGATGACTTCAGGATTTTGAGGAAAAGAAATGTGAGTTTGTGATTTAGGAAAATTGTAACCCAAGCAATTGTTGAGAAGACTCAAAATAACATATTTCTTTGTAAGAGAAGAAAGATCATATATTAGTAACATTTGTGAAAGGATGTGTGCACTGTTCTGGCTGAAGAAGCCCAAGGTGACATTCAGGTGGCATTAGCAGCGGGACATGCTGGCTGTCCAGAGGCCTCCTCCACTGTGTCCCTCTGAGTCCCATTGGATGTAGTGTCCACCCTTCTGATGGGCCCTGCCCAAGCCACAAATGTGGAAGCACTTGCCTTTCTGTGGGGTATATACTGACCTTAGATGGCGGAATTGCAGCCTATTGGTTGAAAATAACCTGGGCCACAGTAATGAGCAATGACCAAATAAGAGGACTTCTTTAAAAAATGTAAATGAATGAATTTCACAAAAATCATCCATTAGGGGGTGCCAGGGTGTGAACATATGCAGTATGTTTTGACAAAATGTCAGATGATGGGATGTGGTACAATAAACCATTCTATCATAGATAGAAGGAAGCACCAGATCATTCCCAGCTGGCAAAGAGTGAGATTTTCAAAATATAATGCAACTGTAAGAACAATAATGGGAGTTTCTGTGGCTAACATTGTCACCTGAATGCAAACTGTGAATATCCTACTCTTTCTATTCCGTCTACCCATCCACCCAGCTTCCTACTCACTTGCTCGCCCACCCATCTACCACCCATCCGTCCACCCAGCCATCCACCCACCCTCACCTATCCACCTGCTGCCCCATCCACCCACCCATCTACTTGCCCACTCATGTATCCATCCATCCATCCATTCATCCACCCACCCAACACATAAGCATTGAACACCACCTAAGGGCCAAGTATTACGGAAGGTGCTGGGGACGAAGGTGAGTGAGACACCCTTTGGCTGTAAGGAGTTCTGTTGTCTACTGGGGAAGATAGACAAGAAGAGTTAATACCCAGTGTAGTGCTAATTTATGAGCTCTGAAGACCTAGGTTTGGAAGGCTACTGGGGTCAGAGAGTTGGGGAGGGACATCTGAGCTCCTGTGTGTGGGTCTGGATTCACAAGAAAGTACAATGTTTTCAAAATTTAGGTGGCTTGGGAAGGCATGCCTGTCAGGGGTGTAGATTTTTGATAAGGAGGGCTAATGGGGTGGAATATTGATTCGGGGAGGGGTCTGAGGCCCAGAACCAGTCATACTTCTAGGCCCAGCTGAGGAGTTAGGATCAAATACTGCACAGTGGTGATTATTAACCCATGCTCCAAGGACAGGGGCCCCAGGGCAATAGGTTTGAGGGTAGGGCTCTGAACCTCCACCCCTGCTGCAACTGGGCAAGTCCACTTTGGTCTGATTTAAATATTGAGCTTCTGCTCGAGAGAGGAAAGCTTCTGCAGCTTAGTTTGAAAACCGCCAGAGTAGGTGAGGGGGCTCCGGGTACGGCTTGGATCCGGGAGGGGTTTCAGACAATCCCTCTGGGGTAATGCGGAGGGTGGTTCTGGGAGAGTCCCCAAGAAACAGAGAGGGGCTCTTCTCCTGGGCCCCTGAAGGCATGGATTCATCTCCATGGGTTTCTGTGAGGCATGGTGGGTGCTAAGTAGGGCAGATGCACAAGGGGCTGGGGATGCAGATGGTGAGTTAGTAACTCTGTCAAGCACAAGAGTGACACTGGGTGGGCTCACATTAGGAAAATCGGGTGAAATAGCAATGGTGTCCTGAGGGTTTCGTCTCACCATCTGGCAGCCTCTGGGAATGAGGTACATTTTTACATGAAATCTTTCATTCATGTTACAGTGTGAGGCGACCAGCATGTCATTGGAAAACTCAGCTGACCTTGGAGGCTCCCTTCAGGCCTTGCTAGAGAGAGCTGGCTGGCCAAGCCTCCGGGCATTTCCAGGGTGAGGGGCCTAAAGCTCAGGGGCCAAGGTTGGGCAAAGCCACCCCCCATGGAAAATTGAAAACTGAAGACACAAAAAACTCTCCTAAGGAATGTCTTTTATTTCAGCATTGGACTTAAGCATGCAGTGTTAAACTGCTCTGGTTAAGACACTGGTTGGGGCTAGTGGCAGGATGAACTACCCTGCAAGTCCCTCTCATTTTTCAGAATTCCATGAGGTGCCAACTGCTTACGGGTATCTGATGGGTCCCACCTGGGTGGGCAGGTGTGAGAAGAAGCAGAGCTGACCTGTTGCTGGGGTCTGGCCGTAGGCAGAGCATGGGGAGAGGAGGGAGAGAGGGAAATGGAGAAGGTGGGAGACCCAGGAAGAGAGGAAGGGCAAGAGAGAAAGGAGAGGGGAGAGAGAGATCATTCCAAACCCACGATACTATCCTTGGAGTATATGGTGGGCTGGCTGACACCCTGGGCAGGACGTGGTACATTGAGAACCATTCATGTTCCCACCTGTAGAAAGGCTGATTTCTTTGAACACACACACACACACACACACACACACACACACACACACACTCACACAGAAGAAACCAAGGCCAAATCAAGTTTTCTTTTTTATTGTTCCAGTCAAAAAAAAGAGGAACACCTCAATATGTAAACAGTTTCCCTAACACAGCAAGTTCTGAAAGATATATATATATATATATTTATTCTTAAAAAATTTGGCATTGTAGTGATTTCTCAATATGTAACTTGTGCTTTCACATGTGGCATGCTCTCGTCCCATGGTCCGTGCACAGATGTGCTTGGAGTTGAGGAAAAGGAGTTACAAGAGGACCAGAAGGTGGGTCAGGAGCCACACCAGTACTCGGGCCCTACCTGGCTGTCTTTTCCAAAAGGCATGGTGGGAAGGTTGGCAACACTGACTTCAGAAGCAAGCACATCTTAGTTACTTATCATAAGGAAAAGTCAGAAACCTTGGAAAGATTTTTGGAAGATGCAAAGATGCATTTCCTTGCCTTTTTTTTTTTTCCTGTTCATTCTAAAGGATTATTGGTTTTACAGATAAATCTTTACTTTTTTGCATAGGATCGTTTAAATAACTAAATCTCTCCTAGAATAACCCTTGTTTTATGATTTTGCTGGGCATGTAGTTCACTACTAAATGCTATTGAGATTCCACCAATGATGTATTCCATTTTTCACAGGTTCACTGAATCATTTCCAAGTGCTTGACCGTTCTGTCAAGGACATTTTACTTTTTTCCACTGAACATAATTCTTTAAAAAAATTCAATCCTAAAGACTTCAGGGCCTTTTAAGCACTGTGGTGGGTTTATTAATAATGATATTCCCTCCTTAGACCATGTTCCTTAGCCTGGAATCCCAAGTCTTCTGCAATTTAGCACCAGTTTTCAAAATGCATATTTTATCAAATCCTACAGTATGCCATCCCTTCCCATCTAGGCTGGCCTGGGCACTACCCTCCTTCTTGCTTTGTGTATGTCTATCTTTGGACCCTCTCCCATGCTAGCTCCTTAAATTGAAAAGAAGTTCCTTTCTCCTGGATCCTTATTTTCCAAATCCCACCCAGTCTTAAGGAATGTCAGGACAAAGGCCCTTTCCTCCCCAGAAGAAAGCCGTTCCTGATTGCTTACACAGAAGTTGATCAGCTTTCTTTAAATTTCAGATCAGTTGCCGTGCTCTTTCTATTATGTTGTCTTATTCCTAAAACTAGAGTAAGTTAATTTCCCTCTTTATGCCTCATTTTCTTCATTTGTAGAGTTGGAGTCAATACTCGCTCAAAGGCTTTTGAGTGGTTCTATACACTCAACACAGTGTTGTCACCTATTAAGAGCTGGTAGCCATGAGGTTGTAGGATTGTGGAGGGCAGAGGAAGATGTCACTATTCTTAAGGGTCTTCAAGTAACTTGCCTAGAACATCACCCACCATACTACAAGTGTTCTTGGGCCAGCACTCAATCAAGCAAATGTAGATTTAGAACAAAAAATATGGGCATCAGCCAGCTTTCAGAATATTTTGGGTGGAACTCTGTTCTTGTTTAGCTTTAGTTGGCAGCTTAGATTCCTGAGAATGGAAATACAAATCTGTGCCTGCTCCCAGTATTGGTGAACTTTGTGTATCTTGAAAATGAAATATTTTTTTTTTCTCCAGGATGCAAGCATTTTATCAAAAACTCAAGTCCTTAAAAGAATTTCTGGGAATAATGCTGAAGATCAAGTATGTCTGTGCCTTGCCCCTTTTAGAAGACTTGTTTCTGTAGGAATGGACACTGGAATACCAACATGCAGCCCAATGATACCCCAACTTGAAGTGGTCCCAAGAACAATTGGGCTTTGTTTTGTTTTAATAGTTCCCACAGTTCCATGTGGTGGTAAGAATGAGAAGTCCCAGGGCAATAGAAACATGAATGTCTACAGACATGCAACCTCAAACCAGATTAAAACTTATCCTCAATTTCATAGATTCAGGATTAAAAAGACTATTGAAATTTACATACTGCTGTGGACTTTTGAACTAGTGAAGTTTCTGGAATAGTTTTCTTTCTATCATAGAAAATGTCTCACAAAACAACCTTATATTTTATTCGGCCATAGTAAATATTTCAGGCTCTACTGTTGTGCTATTTTGTTAAGAAAGGCAAATACAATGAATTACTTTTCAATTAATAGTAGAAAAGAATGCTATGGCTGAAATAAAGCAGTTGAATTAAAATGTTAATTTGGTTTCAGCTTTTTACTTCCCTAATTATGTTCTGCTTGGTTTAGTAATAAATTTTTCATTTTTGCCTGGGGTCCTAGATATATGTTTCAGGGAAGGCCAAGATGGATTCAGGTTAAAAGCAATTTTCCCATAGCCTGCTGGAGCTGGTCAAGCGGTTCATGGATAAGCTGGCAAGAAGGAGCCACACATTTATTTTCTGTCAAAGATGATAACCTCCCTTTGAGCGTTTTACTTCTGGAGGAGACTAAATGTTTTATCCTCATTTATCTAGAAGGCAACTAACTTACAATGCATCTATTTGCCACATGGTTTAGTGGCGGTATTGAAGAGGAGAGAAGGATGTATTTGGTAAGGGTATGCTGGAGACATGAGGATGTATGGTAGTGAAATTTCATTGCTGCCAGCAAAGGAATCATTGAAACTGTTAAAAACTGCTATCAAAAACAATGAAAAGACTTAAAGCTAAACCATCTGGGCCCATTTAGTTTAGGGATGGTGGAGACTGAAACCATGGTGGTGGAGACTGGACTTGATAATAGAATCATAGAAGCAAAACCTGTGGGATTCTAATGCTTGCTGAAGAAGACGAGGACACTAACAGCAGACACATTTTTCTGAGCCCACATGGAACACAAATAAATCACATTCTCAGACTCAAAACACACCTTAATGAACTTAAAAGAATAGAAATCATACAATGTCTGTTCTAGATCACAGTGGAATTAAACTAGAAAATAGAAAGAGAAAAGCAGATAGAAAAATCTCAAAATACTTGGAGATTCAACAACACTCTTAAATAACACCTAAGTCAAAGAAGAAATCTCAGGAGAATTAAAAAAACAATTTGAATTAAATGAAACTGAAAATACTAAAAAAGTACTTTGAATTAAATGAAACTGAAAATACAATGATCAAAATTTGTAGGATGCTGTGAAAGCAGTTCTCAGAGGGATTGGGAAGGAAGAAGTAAAACTGTCTTTGCAGATGACATAATTTTCTATGTAGAAAATCTGAAATAAATCCACAAAAAAAACCCCTCTTGGAACTAATAAACCACTATAGCAAGGTTATAGGACACAAGGTTAATATACAAAAAGTCAATTGGTTTCTTAGATACCATTAATGAATAAGTGGAATTTGAAATTAAAAACACAATACCATTTACATTAGCACCCCCTAAAAAAGAAATATTTAGGTATAAATCTAACAAAATATGTACAAGCTTTAAATGAGGAAAATTACAAAACTCTGATGAAAGATATCAAAGATGAACTAAATGAATGGAGAGATATTCCATGTTCATGGACAGGAAGACTCAATATTTTCAAGATGTCAATCTTTACTAAATTGGCCTATAAATTCAATGTAATTCCAATAAAAATCCCAGCAAACTATTTTGTGGATATACAGATGGATTCTAACGTTTATATGGAGAAGCAAAAGACCCAGAATAGCCAATTCAATATTGAAGAAGAAGGACAAAACCAGAGGACTGACACTACCCGACTTCAAAGCTTACTATAAAATTACAGTAATCAAGACAGTGCGGTACTGGTGAGAGAATAGACAAATAGATCAATGGAACAGGACAGACAGCCAAGAAATATACCCCTATAAATAGAGTCAACTGCTGTTTGACAAATGAGCTGAGGCAATACAGTGGAGCAAATAGAGTCTTTGCAACAAGTGATGCTGGAAAAACCGAACATTCATGAGCCAAAAAAAAAAAGAATCTAGGCATGTACCTTATACCCTTAACAAAAATTAACTCAAAATGGGTAATAGATTAAGATGTAAAATGCAAACTATAAAACTCCTAGAAGACAACATTTGAGAAAAACTAGATGACCTTGGATATGGCCATGTCTTTTTAAACGCCAAAGGCATGATCCATGAAGGAAAGAAAGATAAACTGGTCTTCATTAAAATTAAGAATTTCTGCTCTTCAAAGGACACTGTCAACAGAGTGAGAAGACAAACCACAGACTAGAAGATATTTTCAAAAGACACATCTGGGAAAGAACTATTATCCAAAACATACAAAGAATTCTCAAAACTCAACAGTAGGAAAAGATACAATGTGATTTAAAAAATGGGCAGAGACCTGAAGAAATACCTTACCAAAGAAGAGATACAGATGACAAAATAAGCACATGAAAAGATGCTCCACATCATATGTCATCAGGGAAATGCAAATGAAAAGAATAATGAGATACCAGTGTACGCCTATTAGAATGGCCAAAAACCAAAACAAAGATGACTCTAAATGCCAACAAGGATATGGAACAACAGGAGCATTCATTCATCGTTGGTGGGAATGTAAAATGGTGCAGCCTTTTTGGAAGAGAGTTTGGCAGTTTCTTACAAAACTAGTCACAGTTTTGTCATACGATCTGGAATTCATGATCCATTATATTTACCCAAATGAATCAAAACTTAATGTCTACACAAAAACCTGCACACAAATGTTTAGAACAGCTTTATTCATCACTGCCAAAACTTCAAAACAACCAAAATATCCTTTAGTAAGTGAATAGATAAATAGTGTTCCATCTAGATAATGGAATATTATTCAACAGGAAAAAGAGATAAGGTATCTAGCCATAAAAAGACTTGGAGGAACCTTAAATATAAATTACTAAATGAAAGAAACTAATCAGAATAGGCTATATATTGTATGATTCCAACCACTTGGCTTTGTGGAAAAGGCAAAACTATGAGACAATAAAAGGTCAGTAGTTGCCAAGGGTTGTGGGGAGAGAGAGCAATGAATAGAACACAGAAGAGTTTTTGGGCATGAAGCTATTTTGTATGATACTACAATGGTGGATACATCTCAGTATGTATTTTACAATACTCAAAACTCACAGAATGTGCAATGCCAAGACTGAACCCTAATGTAAACTGCGGACTTTGGGTGATAATGATGAGCCCAATGTCAGTTTATCAAGTGTAACATAGGTATCACAATGGTGTGAGATGCTGATAATGGGGGAGGTTGTGTCTGGAGGGGACAGGGGGGTATATGAGAACTCTCTACACTTTCCACTCAATTTTGATGTGAACCTAAAACTGCTCTAAAAATAATTGATTAATTAGAAAAAGGAGAAAATGATTTCAGAGAAGTTCAGTGGTTTAATTCAAGACCACATGGCTTATCTCTAGTCAAACCAGGACCCAGAATCCTGGTCTTCTCAGACTGAATCCAGGTTTCCTGCAAAACAATGAAAAGAAAGACTACTTTATGATCCATTGACTGTAGATTCAGGGAAGTGTATGGTACAGTTTAGAAAGAATACCACAGTGATGGTGGGGGAAAATGGTTGTTATTCTCCAAGCTTTGGCTTTCTGGAAATTCATTTATGTGGACCAGCTCATACCCGATTGGAAAGGATAAATGTGTGTGTGTGTGTGTGTGTGTGTGTGTGTGTGTGTGCATCAGTGTATGTGTATTTGTGTATATGTATGCATGTGTGTATGTATGTATATGTGAATACATGTATGTATGTATGTATATGGGGAAAGGGTTGTTGCATTTATTAATGTGTTAGTTACAGAGGACTGAGAATATTACCTCTGTATTGTGTAGTGATCAGAGGAGTCATCTCTCTTTTAGAAAAGGAAAAAAAAAACTACATGAATATACAAATAGAGGAGAACCATGGCATTAACAGGCCACATGTCTTGTTGGTGCCTCTTGTAACAGAATTAGAGAAAAGATGGGAGTGAAGTCTTCCGGTGCAGTTGTTCAGGTTGTGGAAAGTTCCGCTTTATTCCCTAGTGCCCCCTGTGGACACAGCCAGCTAACCAGGTGAGCTGTAGACTTTGGGGTCTCATGTGGCCTGACTTGCTCAATGTGGGCAAGACTCAGAGGTTGAAACACTAATACCCTGTCTTTGAAAGCAGGCCATCATCTTAAGCACCACCATGTCCAAAATTTCCCAGAGGTCAGTGTCCAGTGGGGTTTGCCTCAGAGTTGTTCCCGGTTAGCAGAGTTCATTCCTGTCTGGTTCACAGGGGGAGGCTGAATTTAACTCCGAGAGTTCAGTCCTGAATTCCACTTCACTTTTTAATGCCAATGAAAATGAGTCTATTCTCAGGTTCAAAGCAGATGGAAAATGGCAAGTTGACAGAGAAATAGTGTTCTGGGAGACTTTGCACCCTGGGGGTAAAAATAAACATCTCTGATTTGAAATCATGTTTTCTAAACCAATTTGTAAGTAAAATTTTTAGATTGCTTTTGTTTATATTTGGGTTTATTATTGAAAACTATTTAACTGTTTGATTTGGACCAGTCTTAATCTTTAGGCAGGGTTTATTTAATGATTAATAAAATGATAGCTCTTTGGACCTCTGTTACATCAGATTATGTGAATTTAGTTTTGGAATCTTTTTTTTTTAAAGGTGACTGTGATTTTGTGTGTGTGTGTGTGTGTGTGTGTGTGTGTGTGTGTGTGATGGAGATGTTGGCTTAAGGAATAGCTTTCTTAGGAGCAGTTTGGCTACCTACGTGCATGCCATCCTAGGAAGAAGGGATATTCAACACCTGGTGGGGTGAAGGAGTACTCATTTGCCTGGGCACTGCCCCGTGTCTCCTTAGCTTCCCCCAAGCCTCTCAGTAGGCGGGGCAGCCCTGGGACTTCAGCCCCTTGGGACCTCTGCCGGCTCCCCTTGGGGACTCCATGGAGAAGTGCATGCTCACAGGCTGCAGGCTGCCCTGGTTGCAGCCCTGCATGTCCTGGGTGACCAGGCCCCACAGGGGCCAGAGCACGGTCCGCAGACGGGGTGGGGAGGAAAGACCACTTTGCCGACATAGGCAGATGTCTGGGTAATCATTTCAGAATCCTGTACACGTGTGAGAAGCCACTTTTGTCTCTGTGTGGCTCTTCTTTGAGACATGGAGCCACTGGGGTGAATAAAGATGTCCAGGACCATCTTTGGCAAGCTTAGCCTGATCACATGCTGCAAAGGGTAAGAAGATTCCCCCAGAACAGTCAGCTCTCCCTTTGGCACAAGGCCTCTCTTAATACTCTGTTCAGTTGTTGACTGATGTCCTAATGCCCAATCAACGCTCAAGGCCTTTCAAGGCGTTTATGGGGCAGGAACAAAATATTCTGCCTTTTTGATCTCAGGTGGTCAGACTCTGAGCATATTACATGCTCAGTTAAACTGGGGATGGACAATTAAGCATAAGAGTTAAGACTAGCCCCAGTGATTGCTTCTTGGCTGCCGGTCAAGAATGGAATGAGGACTCAGAGGAAGGTGCCGGGAAAGACCAGTTTTGGTGGTAAGCAGAGGAAGGAACTCAGAAAGAGGAGCTGGGTAGAATGTTCGGGGAGATGACCTGCGATGATGTGGAGGCTGTGTGCGCACCTGGGGCAGCATAAGTCACGTGTTCAAGTGTTGTGGACCAGGGGAGTCCTTGCAAATAAAGGGATTTTTGACACGGCTGTTCTCATTTGGTGGCTGTCAGAGAAAGGGAGGGATGTGACATTTCTTGATCAAGTGGCATTGATACTGGTTTTTAGGTGGGTTCAAACTGGAAAAGTCTAGCTCTCCCTTTGGCACAAGGGATTGCCCCATAAGCCCATGAAGTTTGTGCTCACAGCATCATGATACCAAAAAGAGAATTTCTAGATGTTGAAGAATTAGATATGTAAAGGAAAAAGCACTGAGGTAGTCATCATGGGAAAATGGGTACTTTTTTGGACTTCCTTACTTATTCCACTTATGTGTTAGTATTTTTTTATTTTTACTTAGGTATGTGAGGACCACTCCTGTGCGTAGGGGATTCAAAAGGCCTTCAGCTCTTAAAGGGAGGGTTTTCATCCCTGATCCAGGTGGTCACTCTTTGGGGGTAAGGATGCCTGCCAAGATAAACTCAAAAGACACAGGGTCCCCAGTAGACATTTCTGTCAGGGGTCATTGTCTAGACGGGCAGGAACGAGACCTGGAGGGACAGGCCCACCCAGAAAGCCCACAGCAGGTGGGCATGGTCAAGGCTGAACCAAGGGAGGGTATTTCTCATACCCACACCCACATGCAGCCATACTAAGAGATGATGTCAGAATGGCACCTGCGGTGGCTGGATCTGAGGTCAGTGCCCCTTCTTCTACCCTAAGAATGCTGGCCAAGGAGGCAGAGTTTCTGTTCATGCACAGCTAATGGGAACCCAGCTTTCTGTGCTCCAGGTGACCCAGTTCTGATACTTGTGTTAGTGGGGTTAGATCCAGCACTATATACTCCATTAGGCATTCAGTCTGTACTGGGGTTTTAGAAGCCAAAGAGGTCTGAACTTAGACTCCTGGGATATCTTGCTCTTTTTGTGGATGTTTTATGATTTCTATCAGAATTTTAGAAATGATATTGGATTTCATGTTTATTTCACTAGTGTCTGTTGGTAGCAGATATTTACACTGCCTGAGAAAAACAGCCCTTCTAATTCTTATAAAGATTGGATGGTTGATATCACAGCATTTATGACTGTGTTAATACAATGGGTACAGAGTCTTAATCTTGAAATGGTCAATTATGCTTGGACAGTAGGAATATTTTGTTCTCTGAAGTTAAGATATGTTGCCTGTGTGGTCACAATTCTGGCTGAACACAGAGCATGTTAGGATTCAACTCTAGAGGGGTAGTGTCTAAAAATAACTTTATAAATACTATTTTCATTGACAGTGAATCTCCACCTCTTAATCATATTGACCACCTCAACAAGTTATTCTTGCATGTCTTAATTGTGTCCTCATTTCCCCAGGACTTTCCTATTTGAATTAGGAAGCTTTCTTTTACCAAGGCAATGAGGCCAAGTAAAAGTTTGACTCCTTTTACATTTATTTAAGTTTTTTGGTATTGAAATTTGAGCTTTCTTTTTTCCCCCTACTTAGTTATTATCCTGTTCCATGCAGTTGCAGAGTTGCAAGCTCTCTGCATGATTTATATTGAGGATACCATTACTACCTAGTTTCAGATACAGGGCCAAATCTATCTCAATATCCCTCATTTATCTATCAGCAATACAATGTCAAAATAGTTTGTTAAAAAATTCTTTTCTTTCCCACCTTATTTCCAGGAAAGCACTCATAAAATAGCAATTTATTTTTCAATAGAACTGAAGAGATAAAGAACCTAGCTTGGCTGTCCTATGTCTGGCTTTGGAAATGCTTCCTTAGAACACAAGTGAGTTCATCTTAGTGATACTAAAGAATGTCATTTAATATTGACTTATCTCAAAACCCCACTGTCTGGATTTCTTTCATCCAATATTATTCTAATTACCAATCTTTATCTTTAGACTCAGAATGGTGGCAAACAGCCCCCAAAACCCTCCTCTTTTTCTGTGAGCTCTTTACAAAGAACCTCTTGGTTTTCCAAGAGAAGCATTTAGTTCTCTACTTGCATGTTATGCTTTTAACCTAGTGGCGAGAGAGAATCAGAACTACTACAATTAAATGCAAGCAGTAGTTCAAGGTTTATCTTGATCGCATTGATTGATTGTAGGCTAGAGAAAACTAGCAAGGAAACAGACACAGTTCAACAGTCTAGTCAGTTCTCCTCCAAGAAAGCATAAGAAAGAAGGCCTGCGAGGGACTGGAAGCTGGGTCGGTGTGCAGAAACCCCTGCAAATCTAATTCACCCCACGGAGCAAAGACTCATGTCCCAACTATCTATGTACTTAAATGCCTAAGGATACCAGTGAAGCAATGTCTCAGCTGCTGGACTAGGGATTCCTATTTCTTTTTTGTTCATTAACGAGTAGTTTTACCATGTCACTTTCTGAGTTGGCCACTGAATATTGGATGGCTGTTGATTTATTACCCTGAAGGAATGGTTTTAAAAAGGAAGAAGTCTTTCTTTGAGACCCAACTAATTTCTTTGAGATCTGTTTGGGCTTTCAAAATTCCTTGAAGCTGTTGTCCCTCTTACCAAAAAAGTGTGGTATTTCTTCTTCAAACAGACCTATGAGTGACTGCAGTAGATTTTATACTGGAAAAGAATGTCATTGTTCTAAGTTTCCCAGGAATCTCTTAATAGTACAGTACAGTACTTAATAATTAATAGTACTAATGGTATTTAATGGTATGTCATGGTGGTTGGCAAACTTTTCCTGTAAGGGGCCAGATAGTGATATTTTAGTCTTCTGTTCATAAGATCTCTGCCTTAATTACTCATCTCTGCTAGTATAGCATGAAGGCAGTCATGGGCAACAGAAATGAATGGGTGCTGTGTTCCAATAAAGCTTTATTTATGGACACTGTCATTTGAATTTCATATAATTTTCATGTCATAAAATGTTCTTCTTTTGTTTTTTACCCCCAACCACTTAAAAATGTAAAAATCGTTCTTTGCTTGCAAGTGATGCAAAAAGAGTGTGTGAACAGATTTGGTTTCCTGCCACTTGTCTGTAGTAGAAAATATTCATGGCTTATTGGCATCTGGATTTGAAATCAAGATCTATGATTTTTGGGCCTTATAACCTTGGAGAATTTACTCAGTTTGCCCAAACCCTAGTTTTCCTTCTATAAAATGTAAATTATAATACTCAAGCTGTGATGGTGGATTAGAATTAAATGACATAGGGTGCTCCGAATGCTTCAAACACTACACAATGTAGGGTACAATGCTTTTTCATTATTATTGTGTTATGTATTGATATTGTGCTTTGTCAAGATCTCTCAGTAGCCTGACAGAGTTTTGACTTCTGTAAGACACTGCATGAGAAGCTCTCCAAGACATTAGGGCAGAAATATTAAGAAGTATGTTTTACTCCACTTTAAATTAAAGGATAACATTTTCTTAAATGCAGGTTGGCCATAAGGTCTAGAAACAAGATAACATATTTTACTACATTGTAATGCAATATTAATGAATCATCTATTATATATGCTGCCTATGTTTTTTGACTTTCTAGCGATTATGAAAGGATATCATGGAACGTAGTGTCTGCAATATATGTAAGGCATTTAATTTTCAACTACCCATTTGATTCTTCTGCACCACATAGATTATCACCCAAGTCAAGGAAAGAATGACAACTAGTCAGACTATTGGTAAGCTGTCTTGGAAGTGACTATTAATATTAAAAAAAAAATCTTGAATCACTCAGTTAATCAAATGTTTTCACATTATTTTGGTGAGTTAAGGTATTATTCTAATGGTATTTTTTAAGAGTTTCTTTCCCTGTCTAAGTTCATACCTGTATGAACTGTTAATGAACATCCAAAAGATATTGGCTTAAATCTAAATAAAAACAAAGGGGAAAAGGTGAAAACCTGAAATGTAAGAAAATGTAGGAAGAGAAAACATAAGGATGTTGCTCTGGAGACTTCAAAATTTAGGCTTTTAAATGAACCAATAAATACATTTTAAATCAGAGTACAATGAAAAACAGACATTTCAGAACACCCTAGTTTGGTTAAACCCACAAGAGAAAATTGTGCTTAGGAAACAGGTTGACAGTTTTAGAGACAGTAGCTGGGTTTCTGTGAGGCAACAAAAGATACTGAACTAAATCAACGGACCTGGTACTGTAGAAGTAGGGAAAGCGCGATAGAGAGGGGCAGGTGGAGGAGAGGAGTAGGGGAAGAAGGAATTCCTTCTCGGGGACATGGAGTGGCTCTATGTTGGATCAATAGGCTGGAATGCCATATTTTGAAGGAATGGAAAAACAATGACCTGACATTACAGTGATGGCAAACGTGTTAATACAAAAGCAAATAGTTCCCCCATGGGGCAGCTATAAACATAAACAATTGTATTTGTGACATAAAGTTGACTTACAAGTGAGTAGGTACTCTTCCAGTTGGAAAGCACGTTGGGGTGGGTAGAAGTGAGAATCTGAGGGTCTCAGAAGCCCTTGGGAAGGTCAAGCTTCCTGCTGAATCTGCCCTTTTTTCCAGATTGGGATCAGCTATGGCAAACCATAACCCTTTAGTTCATAGTTCATATTTGACTAATGGATCCCCCCATGCTTTTAAGGAAAAGTGACTCAAATACACCAACCAGGCAGACTGAAATGTCAAGTTGAGAGTATTCCCCATTAGCTATGGGTATTGTTGCACTACAATAGGCTTCTTTATTTTCACAGCACTTGATTTGCTGAAAAAGTGAACGGGGACTGCATATGGAGCAATTAGAATGGGTAGAAATTGTGGGGTCGTCTCTGTTGAACTGCCTTAATGAAAAACACCATTCAATACTTGCTGCTTAGAAAATTCAGTCTTAATGAGTTTCTTTCAGTTCCAAATTTAACAGCTGACACAAAATACACTGTTAAACTGTGTTATCAATAATTGTAGAAAAATAGACATGTTTGATAGGGACATTCTAGTAAAAGGTTTTTCTGGAGCAACTTCGTTTAAAGATTCAGAGGCTCACATTACAAAATGAGATTTGGTTCATGTTCTGTCTCCAGCTACACTGACACCAAAGACAGTGAGAACAGGGAGAGACTTCACACCCTGTGCCCGTCACATGTGCAGAACTGACTCGCGTGGGTGACCCAACAGTTGTTAAGGCTCTTGGTTCACTTGTGCTAAAGGGCCCAGCTCTGCTCTTCCCACCAAACAACAGGGTGTGCCATTCTTTAAACCCAGTTAACAATTAAAAAGGCCCATTGAGTCTTCAAGAGCTGCAGTAGCAGACTTTCTGCAGCCCCTGCTTCATCTTGCTTTGTGCTCCCCTGCCTTGCTGCAGCAGGGTTAGCAGCCTCAAACCAATGGCCCTTCATAAGGCTACAGCAAGGGAAGGCCATAGTAACCCCTCCACAGCCTGGCAGGAAATGAAGGGGGCTCCCTCCTACTCCCCAGGTACAACCTCCTCCTTAGAGTGTGTGGAATGAATAAAGGATTCAACAGATATTCAATGCAAAAAATGAAATACTGGCAAACAGGAAAGGGCTGTGGCCAACAGTTTTGTTTTCCATAAGGTTAGTGCTAAGAAGCAGTCGTCTTGATGCAAGGTCTTGGAAATGGGAGAAGAGAGACCCCCATGTTAAACTGAGGGGCCACTCTCCTTACCTCTGGGGCATGCTTTTGAATAGACAAAGTGCCCAAACTACAGGAAAAGCCATTGTGCTCTGGTCAGGGAAGGCAAGGGCGACAGGGAGGGGCAGCTAGTTTGGGCTCTTCAGTCCCCGTGGTGTGAAGCCTCAAACAGCGCAGCTGTAGGAGCTGGAAATGAACTTGAATACAGTCAGTGAATATTTATGATGGCAACTGTGTTAGGGAGCAAACAGTTTAAAATTATGATATTAACATGAAAGATCTGTTACAGTGCAAAATCTCCACCTGCCCTTGAGGTTTTTTTCTAAGATTCTCTTCCTTTTTTAATATTTTCATTTGAAACTTTTTTCATTTTGAAATTTAGATTTTTGGTATAAAATTCTTTCCTTCCTTCCTTCTCTTCTCCCTTTCTTTCTTTTTCTTTTCTTTTCCTTTCTTCATTTATCTTTGCAGATAGTCAGATGAGTTAGGCTGCAGTTTTTGTTTGTGTTTTTTTGATTGGGAGACACTTTGGACTTGACTTTGATCGTATGGCATATTCTAGAGAGAATTTTTTAGATAGTTACCAAGGTTGTTGATCTAATCTTTGAATATTGAACTCTGGTCATTCTATAATAATAAAAGAAAAATAATAACAAATATCAATCCAAGAAATGCTGATGGATAAGCCCCCAGGGACAAGAGGAGTGCTGGATGGAGTCAAAGTGTGTGAGGTCAATGATTACAGTATGTCACCCACTGCTTGCCTTCATGAATTACACGGCTTAGACTCAAACCATCTACTGCTTACTTACCATGTGTTATTTTGAATAGTCTGTAGTTTTTCATGATTACACAGTGAACAGCTGGAGCATCGGTAGTTTAGCAGAAATTTTCCGAACTATTGTACTACAGAGGGAGAACACTCACGTACAAAGCATAGACACACTATTGGTGACACGTCAGAGGGTGTCCTCTTCCTGGAATTCTCCCCAGGCTAGTCAGTGAGGTTCTTTTTATCTTAAAAAAAGAGACCTCAGTTTTGTAAACATTTCACAGTATATCAGCAGATTGGTGGTGGTTTTTGTCATCTGCTGGACCTCCCAACTTCCCCCAGACCTATGGCTTATTAGATTTAATGAAAGGATAAACAAGGGAACAGTGACGTACCCAAATGGCTGCCAGTCTGGGACATGGAACAAAGGCCATGCACTAAAGGGACAGTGTCAAAGGGACTAAAAATTTCAGAAAACAAAGACATCAGAGCAGAAATGCTTACTGTATGTTGGGAATCCCTTTTTTTGCATCTTATTTCTAAAGTTATATATCTAAACTTACATTAATTTTACATCTATGTACATTATTTAGAAGTTGTGTTCTATAGTACTTTTGTACATGCTGGGTTTTATTATTAACTGCAAAAAGAAAATAGTTACATAAGGCATATATATGTACAGTGTTTTGTCTTTACCTCACCTGGGTCCTAAAACTGCAATGCCCACATAGGACAAGCACCTTGCCTTGTAGATGGAATTTATTGGCATCTATAAAATTAAGGGCTATACTCTATGTCTCACCACATGAGTAAATAGGCACCAGAGACCTAAATTGTCATTTCCCAGGTAAAATCTCTGACACATTCTTTTGAGTGATCTGGTATTGTACAACACATGCAGGTAAGTAGTTTAAATCCCCAGGAGTTGGATGTGTGGTGTTTAGGGAGGAGAGCAGACTTGGGCCCCAAATGAGGGCGCATTGCACCTTGATCAGATCTGTGTCTACCTTGTCAATCTGGGTAACTGAGAGAGGGCAGGTAGATATTTTACACCTTGAAGATTTGTTTTCTAGTGATGCCAAAATTAAATGTAAGTTAAGAACAAAGCAAGAGAGACAGAAAAGAAAAAGAATGAGAGACAAGGAAGGGTTGTGTGGGGGGAGAGGAGAAGGAGTCGCCCAGCTAGGGGGCTAAACTTTGGATTCGTTCTCTAGGTTTGCCACGTCACCGTTCCGTTCCGTCTGCTCCTCCTGGTTCTTTTCTTCATCTTCGGTCTCCAGTTCTGCATGTTGGTTGAGTTTGCTGGATACAGACCAACTGAGGGGCAGCTCTGCCCTGCTAGCTAGCTCAGCCAGCTCTTTGGCACTGAGAGAGGGGGTGCTGGTCTCATAGGTCTCGTGGAAGCTGTTGTAGTCGACTTCATAGAACCCATCCTCCAATGTCAGGACAGGGGTGAACCGATGACCCCACAGGATCTCACTGGTGATGTAGGAGCTTCTCGCTTGGCATGTCATCCCTGCAGAGAGGAGAATGGAAGCTTTAGCACGTGCAAGTGTGGACTTTACACTGTCAAGGGGCTCAGGGAGCAGGGCAGGGTCTCGCGCACAGCTAGCTGTTCAGGTTGTGGCCTGCGTAGGGCACACAGCTCTGGAGGTGTCTTTCATGTTGTGGACACATGCTGACAATGCACAAAGCATGAGGCGGAGATTCCAGGCCTCCACTCCCAGTGGAGGAGTCAGGCCACACTTGTCCATAAGGTCATGTAAACACACAGAAAAGCACACGTGCACAGGCACACAGGTGCACACACCTGTGGTTGCTCCTTGTCCAGTTTTTGCTCCAGGAGAACCCTGAGATCATGACTCTGGCATCCCACTGCTTCTAGAGGCTTTGCCTGAGTCCTCCTGGGACTTCAGCCCTCTGGCCACAGCCTGAGAATGAAGTTTGTATTATGGAACTACACCTAAGATACCTTTAGCTGGAGGCCATAGATTAGTGTTACCTGCCTGCCACCATGCTGTACAGGCCATGGCTGTGGCCCCCAAATAAGATGGGAAGGGATGCCTACCTGAGTGCCACACTTCCCCCAGGCCATGGGGATAGTTGTTCAGACTGTGCAGTGATGTAATATTTTAAAGGTTTTTTTTCCCTTCTTTTTAAGATAAGAAGACTTTCCTTAATTTGTACAAAAATGCCATGTGAGCTTCAGGGAACCCAGGTGTCATGAGTAGATTTTTTTAAGATGTGAAATGACAGAAGGAGGGAGACTCCACCCATCTCCTTAGAAAAGAAAACTAGGAAGCAGGCTTGGTACAAAATGTGGGAAATGGCATTGGTGCATTTTTTTTTTGAGGTCAAAGGGTTCTCTTAAGAAACTTCTCAGGACATGGAAACATTCCTTCAGTGCTGACTTCTCCATTAGCTGGGTTGGTCCAGGGCCTATGGCCCATAAATCTTTTAGAGACCCATGAAAATTTTAAATTTCTTTTAAAATAAGAAGAAAATGAAATTTATTCATCTTTATACTACTATAGTTGTAAAATATAATATAATTAAAATTTTTTTTGACAGAATAAGGGGCTGACAAAGGTAAAACTACTTGGGACTCAAGAAAGTAAGACTGTGGCCCTATGTTCATTCATTCAGGGAAGCAGCCAGTTAGTCAGTACGTCATTCATGAGAACAGCTAATAAGGCACACCAAGCAACTGCTTTGTTCTGGTGGAGTAGGGAAAAGAGGACACATGGGTGTTTACACATACATGTTCAGAGCTACAAAATGTTCTCAGGACATTGCACTTACTCCTTGTGGCTAGAAGAAGAAACTGGGGTATCAGGGACTTAAGTGATTGACTTAAATTAGCTGTCAGGGTCTGAGACAGCACAGCTTTCTCTCCAGCCCAAAGTCTTTCTTCTTAATACCAAAACTGAATGCTACTCTTTTCCAATGTTTCCCTGGTGGGCCCACAAAAGTGCTACCTTTTAGCTCTAAAATAACTATTCCTGGGATTCTAGGTATTGAAAGGAGAAGAGCAACATTGCCTTGCTTTTTTTCCTCAAACAGTGTTTGTATTCTGAGGTACCAACTCATTATTTGTGCTTGGGAGGGATGGGGGGAGGTAGTTGATGGCAGGTACATATGGGCTCAGAATGAGCTACAAATAGGAAGTCAAAGGGAAAAGGTGATAAAATAATTTTATAACTTTTTTTCATAAAGGAAGTGCATATTTATTGTAAAGTGACTACAAAACAGAAAAGGGCAAATAAAGTAAAATCTACCCAAGCTTTCATTTCTAGATGTATAATTAACAGAACTAGAAATAAAAAATAAAATTCTTAAAATTAGAATTTAAATGGATATTTAACATCAGATTGGAACTGGCTAAAGAGAGAATCAGAAACTTGAGCTATAGGTTTGAAGAAACAACATAGGATGCAGCCAAGAGGAGGTCAGCAGGAATGGTGGAAAAAAGAGTTACGAAAACCCTTTCCTCCATAAAAGAAGTGAGGACAATTGCAAAAATTGACAAAACAAACTCTTTCAGAACTCTATAAATGAACTCCAGGAGTGTTTACTCAAGAAAAATGGCTGAATATCAATAAGAACCCTGAGCTTTGTGGTGTTTTAACTCTCTACTGCTACCCCTACTTAGCTTCATGGTAGCCTTGAAAATTGAGAGCCTGCAATCATGGTAAAAATTAGTAGTCTAGCAACCATTGGAGGGGTTATAACAGGGTTGGAGTTCTTTCAACGTCCCATTCTCAGATTGTCATTATTTGATATGTCTGACAGTACCCTGGAAAACTCCATTTGGAAGGCTTATCTTTGACCTGTCAGAGAGCTCACTCAAAGCAAATAGTGTCTTCCTTGGGTGACTTGTCAGAAACAATCAGTGGCAACTGTTTAATATTGCAGCTGCTTGGGGCAGGGGTAACAGTTGGAGATAACAATAAGCTAACCAAAAAACAAAAGAAAAAGCTGGACAAAAATGTCCACAGGGAACTTTGAAAAACTCTGACATATTTCAGAGATTCTAGAAGAACACATGTATGTTTAGGGCTGTGCACATGTCCAGGAAAGATCTGAGAAGGCCCTGAGCTCTCACCTCTGGTTGACCTTGAGGCTCTGAGCAAGCAGGAAGTAAAGGTTAAGGCACAGTTGCCTGAGTATTGAAGGCATTGCCCCACTATGATCACAGAACCCTTTGACAAAGACCATGAGAATTATTGGCTCCAAGCATTTAAGAAAATTTTTGGCCAATCATTAGCCAATTACTAAGCTAACTGAGTAGAGACTTCAGGGATTATACACAAAAAATATTCAGACCTTACAGAATCTCAGGAAAGTCACCAAACAAGCAAATAGCAACAAGAAAAAAACCCTGAAAAGGAGGAAGAATCTGATTTTCAAGGTTGCCACATTATACTAAGATGTCAGTTTTCAATAGAGATTTATGAGACATGCAAAAAAACAAGAAAATATGGATCATACATAAGAAGAAAAGTAGTCAATGGAAACTGTCCCAGAAGAAGCCCAGACATTGGACTCACTAGACAAAGACTTTAAATCCACTATTGTAAATATGTTCAAAGAACTAAAGGACATTATGATAATGTCTCACCAAATAAGAGAAAATAGAGAATATTAACAAATAAATATAAATATATATATAAAAAAACAAATATAAATTCTGAAGTTGAAATGTACAAGAAATGAAAGAAATTCAACAGTAGACTGGGACTCAACAGTAGATGTGAGTGGGCAAAAGAATCAATAAGCTTGAAGACAGGTGAATTGAGATGATCTCATCTGAGGAGCAGAAAGAGAATAGAATGAAATGCATAATGGAACTCCCAGAAGGAGAGTAGAGAAAGAAAGGGGTGGAAGGAATATTTGAAGACATAATGGCCAAAAAGTTCCTAAATTTAATGGAAACTATTAATCTACACACTCAAGAAGCTTGATAAATTCCAAGTAAGATTAACTCAAAGAGATTCATACTTAGACAAATCATAATCAAACTGTTGAAACACAATGATGAAGAGAGACTCTAGAGCAGCAAGAGACGACCAAGTTGTCACATATGAGTGATCCTCAAAAATATTAACAACTGATTTCTCAGTAGAAACCATAGCAGGCAGAGGCAATGAGATGACATATTCAAAGCATGGAAATAAAACTCACTACCAAGAATTGCAGCAAATTTATCCTTCATAAGTGAAGAAGTTAAGACATTCCAAGATAAAAACTGAGAGGATTCATTTCTAGCGTATTTGCTGTAGAGGAAGTACTAGAGAGTCCTTCAGGCTGAAATGAAAGGACATTAGATCATAACTCAAATCTAGAAACAAAGGGCATTGGTAAAGGTAACTACATAGATAAATATGAACGTTTTTCTCCAGAATAATTTTATGGTTATTCCATTTTAATTATACTATCCCATTATATGGATATACCATGGTCTTTTTATTAATTTAAACAAAGTGATTCAAATATATGTGGTGTGGTTATATGTTGATAATAAGTGTTAATAATATTGGCTTGGTTTGTGGAAGTTGTTCTTGTATTCTGTTATGGGATGAATTGTTCCCCTCAAAATTCATATATTGATGTCCTAACTCCAGTATTTCAGAATATGACTGTTTTTGGAGATAGGGTTTTGAAAGACAATTAAGTTAAAATGAGGTCATTATGGTAGATCCTAATCCAGAATGATTGCTGTTTATATAAGAAGAGGAGATCAGGACACAGACACACACAGAAGAAAAACTCAGAGGATACAGGGTGAAACTGGCCATCAAGAAGCCAAGGAGAAAGGCCTCAGGGGGAATCAACCCCGTCAGACCTTGATCTTGGACATGTATTCTGGACAGCCTCCAGAATTATGGTAATACATTTCAGTTGTTTAAGCCTCCTAGTCTTTGGAAATTTGTTATGGCAGCCCTAAAAAATAAATACACTTCCTAAATTCCAAAGAGATAATAAAATATCTTTCTATGGTACCATTTTAAGAGGATTTAAAAATTTTATTTAACAAAAAAATGAAGTAAGATTTAAATAAGTGCTCATGGATACTTTCTCAATTTTTATTATTCTTTTGGTGTCATAACTCATTTTAAAAGGGATAGAAAAGACTATTAATGTCTTTGTCTGTTAGTACAATATTAAAAAGCATTCCTAGTATAAATAGATAATTTTCACTTTCTTCAGAAAGATTATCTTACATATTAACATCGGTCTCAGTCCATTCTTTAAAAATGTGATTTTTACTGAATTTGAAAAAGTAACAAAATAAAACCAACTGGGTTAACATCAGAGGACACATCTGCCAAGATTATATCAGTGCATATGTGTACTGTGTTTGTTTTCCATATCAGAAAGATTGTCTTAGAGTCCCCCTGCAGTACATTTTTTAGTGGGTAAAGCAGTCTCTGGAAAAAAAGATGTTTCTTTTGGTTAGAAGCAAAACATGAAAAATCTGATCTCCACGTTCTGGTCACACTCTGTTCTCTGTGT